TATATATATATATATATATAGTATTATCTTATAATCACAATCATAGTACTTGTATTTGGACACATTGCATGTTTACTTATGTAGCAAAATGAACTTTTATCAAGATGTTTACAATTCAATCACTTATATTAGGTTTATCATTTACATATCACCATTATGTTAATTATTTTTTTTATCACTTGGTAAACTATTAATTTAAAATTTTAAACTAAATTAACAGGTGAATGTTGAGTTCACCATAAGAAAATTGTTTAATAGTAAATCACTTATTCATTACCATTACAAATAACTTATTTGGTGTCATTTATAAGATTATGTAAGACAATGTATTTGACTTCTAACATTATTGTGTGTAAATTTTTAGATTATGATTGGCCACTTGGATGTTTATTTAAAATATTTTGTATACATTGTGCATATTATATCCTTTTACTCTCACATAAGGTTGCATATTTAAGTTAGTTGTTATACTCTTAGATTTTGCATAGTGTTTGTTTACTCACTTCCATTGTAAATTATATTTCACATAAATTGTATATTGTAATTAATTATGTGGGAAGGGGTTCATATAATATCATATGAAAGTGTGAAAAGTGCACACCTATTTCATTTTCCTGTTCGTAGCTTAAACCATCAATTGATGTTAGTATCTCAATTCAATTGTTTGGCTTAGTTAAGACCTTGGTAACATACATTTTAGTATAAATTAGCTCATTGGACAAAAAATACTCTCTTAATCTTCATAAATTTTATTTGATTTTTGGAACTCTATGCTGTCCATTCAAGGTTATAAACTTAATTAACTCAATCACTTACTAAGAGCACAAATCAATTAACAAAGGGTTCTCCTTAAAAAATTCACTGTGGGAATTCACCGTCAATCTTGAACTCCATCAATGTTTTTGATTAGCAGTTGATTATCAACCTAACTCATTTTCCATACAATTAGCAATATGAAGCTTAGAATTTATATAATCTTTATACAATCATGCTATATAGTCAACTTTGTAGCTTTTATCTTGATCATCACAAATAGGCGAGCATTGTTTGAGTATGGGCACATGTGATGTTGAACCTTAACTTGAAAAAACTTTATCACAGTGAAATTCCTTGTTAAACTCTCTGAGATTTGGCTTTTTTTATAAATTGTTTTCATAGCTCGATTTAACTCATAATCTCATAAGAATTCTACTAGGTTCTTGTAGATTAATTCATCCAATGATCAACTAAGATCTCCTTGATATTTCTCACCATTTCTAAATGTGCTTGATTTATTTCTATTGTAAGATCAAAATATGCTTTTACATATAATAATAGATGACATATCCAACAATGATTATATTCCTAGGCTAGCTTAAGCGACAGCAATGACAATGTAAGCGGTCAATAGTTAGAATATCATTAAAATTTAAAATCTATCTCTTCAGAGTAGAAATTGCAAAATATTAATATCATAAACAAGAGCTTTCTATAATATTATCACCATCAAAATTTACTTCCCAATAAATCATGATTGTGGGTAGTGACATACACACAACAATACAACTTTCGCTTGGAGAAGAGCTTTTGGCTAGAGGTGGTAAACTATTTACAGCCGAACCCGAGCCTTACACTGACCTAATTTTAAAACGATATGATTTTGGTTCACAATGGGCTCAAATTTGATCCAACCCAAGTATGACTCATACGCATTAAAGTCATACTGATATACAATTTGATAGGATCTCAAACTAATTTGATTGGACCTAGACTCAAGTCAATCGAAATTTTAATTCGATCAGAGCTAAATTTAACTCGTTGGTCCGCTGCTAAAGAGCTCAATCCGAGCCATCGGGCATACCAAATCAACATTTTTCCAGTCTAGACCTTTTTAGGGTGCTTCTACCCCTCGCGCAAGAAAGTTGTATCGAATTGCATCGTACTTTTGACTACAGAATATTCTTCATTTCTGCACATCTCCTTCAGATCGGTAAGTGTCTTCCTGCAATAAATCTGATCTATTCGATTTTCTAGCTTGGAAAACAACCATTGATTGTAAAAAATGGGGGATTTGAAACTATTGTCTGTGTTATCTTTCGTTTATAGTGAATTCTGAATGGGTGTTTGATCTTTGTTTTTGCAGAATAAATGCTTCCGGCTGCGTATGTGTGGTTGAATTATAGGGTTTTTGTATTGTTCCAGGATTGTGAAAGCTTTGTTAAATGCCCCGCCCGCACCCCCCACCCCACAAAGGGTGGGTTAAGTTTTGATATGTGCCGGAGGAATGATATGCTCGTGAAGAAGGGAATTCATCTACCGGTTTCAGGAAGACATGAACCATCATTGTTGGCTTAATTTTTGAGGTGCTTGATGTTTTCGTTTACTTCTTCCATTAATGGAATTCGTGACTTTCATTTTCCATGTTGTTACCAGTGAAAAAGAACCGTTCTTTTTCATAGTTTAGTCTCTTTTTTGTCTACCAATAAAGCTGATGTGAAATAATTGGAAGGATCACTATGATGCTGATGATGAACTTTTTGTTTCTTTTATTTTACACACTATATGTATGACATACTGTCTTTTGACCTCTCTGCGTGGTAGCCTCTTAGGTCAGCTCTGTAGCTGCTATGCATGCAAAATTCTGTGAATGCAATAGGTAAATTTCTACTTAGGCCTTGTTTTTCAAAATATTTGTTTAATAGTTGTTCTACAAAAGTTGTCTTTTAAAGTCAAGTAGAAATTACGAACTAAAATAACAACAAAATGATGTTTTGTGAGAAGCACTTTTAAAAAAGTATACCAATCCAACAAAGCTGAAAATGTGAAAATTGTTTTCTATAAAATGGAAAGCAATTTTAAAGGTTCTCCAAACAGATTCTTAGTATCAATAACTAAGAGGCCTACAATGATCAACAAAAATAGAGCATTTGACAAATTGACGTGATACTTTATAAAGCTATTTCTGATGCAGATCAGTGAAAACAATTCTAACTTGCATACTGCTCAGAGTATTTTCTCATTTTACTTTGTGGAGGATCTTTTTGCTTCAACACACATTACATGTTCATCTATAACTTCAGACGATAGATATATAAACAAAGAATCTTATTCTTAGTACTGCAATTTGTTTATAGTTATGTAATAAATTGATATGTGAAGAATATTCAAGTAAAAATAGCAATTTTTTTTTGTTTAATGATAATCAATTATGGGAATTATAAAGGAATCCATGAACAAACATAATAATTCGTTGCAATTGAGACATTGATTTAACTAAATTGGAGGCAAGTTTCAAACCACCGTCACTATATTTTTGTGTTTTTAGTTTTTCTAATTTGGATCCTAGAGACATTTATCAGGCATGCTCCAACAAATTCAAGTATTGTAGAAAAATATCAATTTTTTTATGGTCGTCAACTTGTATGATATCATACTTGCAATGTAGAATTCTTTTTTCTTTTATTATTGCCAAGTACTGTTCTCTTTGTAGTCTATACAATATTCTGAAGCTCTATTATAGAATCACTTCTGCCTACTCATCCTTTTTTCATTTGCTATTATAACTTATTCAAGCTGGGGTTATTCTTGGAGCTGATATGAGAGCAACAGAAGGACCTATAGTTGCTGATAAGAATTGTTAAATGATTCATTACATGGCCCCAAACATCAACTGCAGACACTGAGGCGTGATAGAAATTTTTTTTACTCTTGATTTATAGTATGAGGTTACTCTATTTTTTCATAGATTTACACATCCTATTAGAATTCAGCTAGTCTCTCTAGCGGATAAAACTTTGTTTTTGCCTTCATGTGGATTCTTGAATTTTGGGCACTTTTTCTTTTGGCAATAGGTAAATCTTGATGAACCCGACATATTTATGCTAGCACAGATAATATGAGGGCTTTTTATGTAGAATGATTGCTTAATTTGCTTTTCGACCCAGGCATGGTTAGGGTTGCGCCATTGCACCATACATGGCTTTTGATGATAAGGTGGATACAAGTGTATACATATTTGATGATTAAGCAATTAATGCTTTTAGCATAGTTCTAAATGACCCTTGAATGATTTTATATTTTACATCCAATCAATAGTTTTATTCATTTATTTTCATTTTATAACGGGAGAGAATTCTAGAAGCTTGAGTGGTTCTTATGAGCTATCAAACTCTTCATCAAGATCACAGAGCTCAGTTTTATACTTGTGCAGTTCCTGAATGATGCGAGAATCATCATTCTTTTTATTGAACTGCTGCATAGTTATATATTCCTCGATTCTCTTAATTTTTTCAGGTTTATGCCAAATCTTATAGTTATTCATTTGAGAGTTGGAGGTCTTTAGCCTTTCTCTGGGAAAAAAAACAATTGGGCTATATGTTGTCCTTGTGGCTTTGAACTATGGATGATCAGACTTTAGAACTCTATGAGCATTAAAACTGTTCTCTAACATGCAACAAAATACGATTATGATTCATAACGAAGGAAAATATCCATCCTTTGAAAGTTTAATAGCAGCAAATTTATAGCTTACATGTGATGTTTGAGGAGTCATATAAAAATTCTAATGCTTTGGGAGTTTTATTTCAGGAGATGTTGTCAATTTTCTGGATTTTTTCTTATATTTGGTCTCTTTTGAGACACATCAAGTTCGCTAAGAAAACTTTGATTCTGAGCTTGCTTCTGCTTTTTCTAGAGGCGACACTCTCCAAAAACTCTTGAAAACAATGGGCTTGAAGTTCAATGATCTTCAAGCTTTGTAATTTTGAAGCTGAAATTCTTGCTTCACTTGGAAGCTTCTAAAGCTTACACATCATTATATGTAAATTATAATAATTCTATGAAATAGTTAGCTCAAATTAGTCTAATTTTTCATCCACTATTGGATAAAATGTTTTTTTAAAATTATTTTTATCAAAAAAAGTTTCTTTTGTAGGGGCATAAACTGTCATTTTATTGAGCTAAAATTTTTAGGAACTCAAGTGTACATTATACCTTATTTGAAAAAAAATTCTACGGTTATCCAAAACTTTACTTGATTGGTTTTTGGTCATTCCCATTTTGACCTCTGATTTGTATAATCATAATTTGGTGTTAAATTTTGGTCCGTTAGACTAACATTACACAATGTTATATTTCTGTCGCTCTATAATTCTGCTTATGTTTAAATTTTTGCTTGTGAATTTCTGAATTTATTTTTTATGAATGCTATTAATAGGGCTAAAAATAAATTTATCAAACTAATACTATTGTTGGCTTTCTTGTACTTACTTTTTCAAATTTTAACTACTCGTGAAATTGTAAATAACAAAATGAGCAGATCATGCAATATTGGCATTTAAGTTTTTTTTTTTTCTTTCAAAAGCGATTTAGTCAAAATTGTTTGACTTGCTTTTGATATCTTGGTGCAGTGGGAGGATGGAATAAAAGTTGTTTGTGAGGCCATATGTTATGGTATCTTCAATGATTTGGAAAGCCAGAGCAATGTTGATGTTTGTGTGATAACTAAGGAATTTTCCTTTAACCTCCCTTCTCTGTCTAACACAACATTTATTCTTTGAGGCATTTACGTACATACCACCGAATTCCTATGTATTTACATATCTAACACTTAAATTTTACTTTTTGCATTTATACCACCAATTTCTTTCATATCATATGAAAAATATCACTATTTTAACTATTAAAAAGTGAAATACACCTCATGCATAAGTTGACATATGTAAAAATTGAAGTTTAAGTGTTAGATATGTAAATACATATGAATTAAAGTATGTATGCAAATTTTCTTATTTTTTTTCTCCTCTCACCTGCGCATTTCAAAACAAAGCAAAACGTATTATTTGAGGAACTACCGGTTACCAAATCCTCAGACATATATTAGTTCTAGAGGCTAGTCTTTCGCTAAGGGCCACACTGGTAAGTACCTTTAGTTACATTCAATAAAAATGCACATGTGCTTGGTGCATGCAAATTGAGTGGATTATGTTTATGTAATTAAATAATATTTAAATGTTATTTATCTTCAAAAGTATAGTGTTTTAATTTTTAGAATTTAAATATAAATTTTTGATATTTTGCTCATAAGTTTTCTAGTAATAGACTTAAAATAACCAATTTATATATTCAGTATATATAAGTACACAATTGAAGAAAATCTCTTTGAAATAGTTTCATTATTTTCATATTATATGTTTGTTTTTTCTTGATAATGTTTGTTGATTGATACTTTGCATAACATGTGAAGAGATTTAGCTTGAGGTGACAACAACAACAAGACTTTATCCCACTAGATGTGGTGTTCGCTGCATGAATCTTTTTTCTCATTTGTGTCCTTTATCCCACTAAGTGTGGTGTTCGCTTCATGAATCCTTTTTCTCATTTGTGTCCTATTGAGTTTTTTATTTTCATTTAATTCTAATAAATTATATCATTTTTTTTATACAACATGCTCAATTCTTTTTATGTCTATCTCTACTTTTCTTAGCATAAGTTATATCTATAACATCCACTTTCTTTACTGGATCATTAGATGGTCGGCATTTAATGTGATGAAACCATCTAAGGCAACTACTCTTGTTTGCCACTGGAGCTACTCCGAACCCTTTCTACAAATATATATGTTTCACAATTATCTCCTAGTGAAAAACTACTCACACACCCACGTATTCTCATCTCGACAATACTTAATTTTATGCTTCTCTTTTATAGGCCAACTTTTTGCACCATACAATATTACAGGTCTTACCACCATCTTATTAAATTTTCCTTTAAGCCTAGGTGATACTTTTTTATCACATAATAGACCCAATACGTTCTCCACTTCAACCATCTGACATGATATGTACATATAACATTCCTATCTATATTGCCATCACTATGAGCAAAAGACCCGAGATATCCGAAACGTTCATTCCTTTTAATGACTTGATCAACAATTGTTTTAACTTCGCCACTAGTTCTATTATTACTAAAATTATATTCAATGTATTCAGTTTTAGATCCACTCAAAGGAAAGCCTTTCACTCTCAAGTTGACCTCCATAATTCAAACTTTTCAAGTTTTTCTTGAACTCTAATTTTATTCACAAGAAGGATATTATCGACAAAAAGCATGACACCAAGGCACGTCCTCCTATTAATGTCCTGTAAGAACATTCATAAGTATAACAAAAAGATAACAAAAAGATATGGGCTTAAAGTCGATCTTTGATGTAATCTAACTATCTAACTGAAATACTGAAATAGGAAAATACTTGGTCAATCCTTCTTGTGTTCGAACACAAGTAACAAGTCTAGTACACATCTTTAATGACTTGAATAGAAGTAATATGAACACCTTTTTCTTCTAGAACTCTCCAAAGCTTTTTCTGAAACCTTATCATAGGCTTTCTAAATCAACAATTCATTCTTATAAGTTATAATAAATTTATCTATTTGTTAAAATAAAGTATCAGCAATACCAAAATCACATTTTAAAACAAAATTCAATATGACTGTTATCCTTCTCATTAATCATTTCAAAATCATAGCAATCATGAATACTTTTTAAAATTTATACAGTTTTACCATCATGCCCATTTAAATTTTCTCAAATAAAGGTTTGCTCTTCAAGAGATATCTTTTGTATTTATTTTTTTGGTCATTCCAAAAATTTTATTTTGAACATATATCCCAACCTACTTGGGGAATATAGACATTTATAATATTAAGAATCTTAGCATCAACAACAATTTTTAGAATTATAATTTTATCTCCAACTGTATTAGTTTTTATAACATTATTTTTCAGTTTTCTATATAATTACACCCATGCTATTTTTAGTACGACTCCTTGAATACCAAAGTTTAAAAGCAAAACTATCAATCTTTTTTAAGCTTTTTCCAACACATTTAGTTTCTTGAATGTATAAGATATTTATTTTCCTATGAACCATAATATCTACTAATTTCATTAATTTATCTGTGATAACACCTATATTTGAAGTTCTTTTACAATAACAAGCCTTTATCCCACTAAGTGGGGTCGGCTACATGAATCCTTTTTCTCCATTGCGTACTATTGAGTCTTCTTATTTTCATTTAATTCTAATATATCTAGATCATTCTTTATACAATTTGCCCAAGTTTTTCTAGGCCTGCCTGTGCATTTTTTTAACAAAAGTCGAGTCTACTCTACTAGTTGGATCATCAAATGGTTGACTTTTAAAGTGACCAAATCATCTAAGACGACTCTCTCTAATTTTATCTGTCATTGGAGCAACACCAACTCTATCATGAATATATTCATTTTTAATTTTGTCTCTAAGTGTCAAGCTACTCATCCACTTAAACATTCCTTGCTTGGCAACACTTGAACTTTATTTTATGTTTCTCTTTTAAAAGACCAACATTTTGTGCCATAGAACATTGCAGGTCTCACCACCATCTTATAAAAATTTCCTTTCAGTTGAAGGAGTACTTTTCTATTGAACAATAGACCTGTGCTTACCTCCACCCTCCACTTCAACCAGTCAGTCAACTTGAATTCTACTAATAACCTACCCAGATATATCATCATCACTTTGAACAATAGACCCGAGATATCTAAAACGCTCACTATATTCCAAGTTCTTATCATAATATTGATTTCATAGACTAATTTCTTTGTCTACATCTTCTCTAAAGTGGGCATCCTTATTTACTTAACACTATATTTGGGTGCCGGTGCTGTGGCCCTTGCACTCTTTTCACTGTATTCTGGTCCTACAACACGTTGCTTCCAGGACACTAGCATTGGCACAATGATTTAAATAATTTATATGATAGTTTTTCGACAAACTTTATGCTAGTCGTGGACTACCTAATACAATCTTTCATTTTTCGCATCAGAGACTGGGGACCTGACAATGATTGTTAGAAATTTTGCTCTAAGGCATGCATGTTAAAATAATAAAATATCATATTTAAATTATCTACGTTCTTCAAAGCATTGAAACTGTAAGAAGACATGCAAGTGAAGTTTACTCTATCAAAGGCTAACTATTTTATGCAAGTATAATTAATTAGCATGATCTTTATAAATGAACTGAACTAAAATGAGAATCTTCTTTTTCAAAGTCTTTCATTTATTTTCTTTTATCTAGTTTGACCTGACTTTGAATGTAACTCTAGTTTTAAAATCTTGTCCAAGTTTGTTTCTAATTTTTCTTATTGAATTTGAGCCGTAATTGAGCTTTAATTGAGCCTAATTATTTATGTATTTGTTATTAATGATTTGAACATATAGCCCAGTTAGTAGATGTGATTGAATTTGTAGCTTTTAATTTAGTAGATGTACTTATGTTGTATGATGAATTTTTGAATATTAATAATAAAATGTTTAAATCTATATTTATTTTGATTTGTATGAATTTTTAAAATTTTGTTTTATTATTCAATAATATAAATGCACAAATATTATTTGGCTATATATGAACAAATATCAACTGGTCATTGAGTGCATTTGTTCTCTTGAAACCCTAGTTAACGCATTCATCTAATCCTTCAAGAATTTCTTATATTTTTCATTATAACAAAACCATTATACATTTAGAAATAAGCATTTACAGAAGATAAAATATAAACAAAAGAAATTCTAGAGTTTGTATCACAACTCTGATATTTATTTAAATGGCTGTTTTAGAATTTTATTTTGAATGTAACACGAACCTTTTAAAAGCACGTATATAAGAATACAACACTGATGCATGTCGGAAGATTTGGGGGCAGTAGAGTAATGAATTATCGTCTTAGTATTGTACGAAAATCAAACACATTCAGATGATGAAAGATTATTATGTAGGAGGAGACACTTCGACTTTGTATGTGGAAAATCCTGAAATGGGGGAAAAATTACAGGGCTTAACCTATTTGAAATACAATATATAGATAAGAATACAACAATATAATATGTATGCTGTATCATTCCTATTAATGGATAGAGTTACTAAAGTTTTTTTGCCTTCTGTCTTTGCAAAGGTTTTGTCAACAAAGATCATTCTGTTGAAACCAGAAGTGGAGGTAGTAGCTGAGGTTGATGCCATGGAAGAAGAGTAAGGCAGATTATTTTGCATGCGCCAAACATTGTTTTTGGCCATTCTTTGAAATTGTGACAACGAAGCATGCATACTTAATGTAATTGAATTCTAATTTTAATATTAAACATTGTACTTAATACTCGAATATTGAAATATTTTAATCATCACTGCATGTTAGTGCGACTCGTAAATTATTATCTCATGCAAGTACTAATCAATACAATACAATATGCAGTTATTTTGAAAACGAGTAAAGCTTGTCTTTGAGCATGGGATCTTTTGATATGAAAAGAAATGTCCAATCATTTGACCATCATCTCAACCGCAAGCATGCCTGTCATCACACTTTTTATAGATAGGAAGATTGACATACACATCACTCAATTCATGTATTTGCATATTTAGCCGAACAAGATAAAAATGTTTCAAGTAACCCGTGTTTAAATTTTCTCCAATCTTGCCGGCCTTTCATAAAATGAATAGAAAGGGAAAGAAGGCAGTTATAGTCATTCTAACTACCCCTCTGAAAAAGGTAAATTAGAAACCAAACCTTCATCTGTCTTATCATGGCTCTCAAAAGCACCTCAACTAGAACTTCAGCTACTCTTCTTTCCTCTTCCATCCTCCTAAGCCTCATTGCATCCTCCTCCTTTACAAGCTTTGGAAATTTTCTAAAAAAGTGCAAAGAACCTAATGGGACTTCTTATCAATTTAAAAATTATAAATTTACAATGCAAAGTGACTGCAATTTAGTGTTGTATAGTAACGAAGACACTACCTGGGCGTCAAAACACCCTTGAAATGGGCGTTAACTGCTACTTCCATTTCTTCTTCAAGTTCCATGGTGTGGAGGAGCAAGACAGGAGGAGCATACGACAAGTACGCTCTTATTCTCCGACCAAATGGGAATGTTATGCTATACGCAAGCCCAATGTGGTTTCCAAGTACTTATGCTTTGAATATTATTGGTAATTGTGTTGTTTGATTTCTAAGATTAATTTGGATCAGTTGCCTAAATTGAGAAAATGCTTGCCACTACGATGCCATATATAATTATGAGCTATTTCTTGAAGTATTATTAAATATCAAATTTGAAAAAAGAATTGCGTCATGATATTAAGGATCAAATTTTTACTTTGTCATTGAGGATAGTAAATTGTAGTCCAAGTTTGATCTGAGATTGACCCGATCTAAAACTGTTTAACCCTAATTCAACTCGGAAATTAAATGAGTCAGAAGGTAAATTGAATCCAGCCACCATCAACTTGATTGACCTAACCCGACACACATAACATATATTCAATATATGCATAATAGTTATTTCGGTAAAATCAAGATAATTTCCAGCCAAGTTCGTGTTGATGGGCCAAAATTTGGTTAATTTTAGATTGACAGGTTATTTCTGGGTTAGAAAGTCAACCTCAACCTAATCCAAAAAAATAAATGCTTTGGGATTTTTCACCCGAAGCCAATCTGAAAATTAATCCGGACAATCCAAACTTAAAGTTTTCATGTCGGGTTTGAATTGAGCAGATGTATTAGGTCAAAGTTTGACCCTCCTACGAAACCAAATATTACATTATTGGTGCACTTGTTTCGGTAGAAAGTATCCAAAAAATAAAAATTTATTATTATTACTATAATAATAATTACTATTATTTGTTTTTTTTGGATAAATACCCTTAATTTTATTGCAAATTAAAATGATTGTGATAATTCACTTTAATGAAAATGTTTAAAAGGTCGAAAAATCCCAAAAGTTTCATGCACTTATTAGACTACATGGACATAAAATAGTTTTTTTGTTTAAAAGTTGCTATTGCTACTCTTTTTTTTTCTTTTATCCGACCATTCAAGTTCGCTATCCTGACTAGCAGTTGTGGGCTCACTACAATGACTCACAACCGCAAACTGCCAACAACGACTTCGTTGAGAGTCTTGATTGTTGAGATAGTGGAAACATCCAGAATAAGGAGTATTTTACGAAAGTGCCACCATTGAAGATCTAAATTTACCTCTGGGATTGGAAGAAGTACCAAGCTTACTACTAAGACCATGTCCATGATAGGTATGCCGACACCTTTCGAGCTTGATCGAGGAGGTGATTAGATCTTGAAAGATCGAGTTCCTAGCTCTGGGTCAACAACCTAGAGGCATGATAAAACTCCAGTAGAAGAAATTTCAGACGAGTTTGTCCGAGCTCATGCCATCAACATAGCTGGCATAGTTTCTGCCATCTTCGGAAGAGGAGATGTTTCTCGCCTAGCCAGTCTGAAGAGGATTCGGTCGGACGAATTGTAAATAACCGTCGTCATAATTAGGTGCAGCACACATCCCTCATCTTTTTTACCGACACTGATCTGCCTCACAAGGGGAATCCCTACAATGATTTCATTGTCGTCACGACGTTAGCTGATTAGCAACTACCAGATTGGTAGCATCCTAATCGCATCGACAGTTCAATGAATATCTTATTTAATGCGGTGTTCGATAAGATGGGCTTTGGAAATGACCGGCTGATTGCCGCAACAAACCCACTCTATAGCTTCTCTGTTGAGAGAAGTAAGCATTGGGAACAATCACACTATCAATTACCTGGGGGAAAAGTACAAGCAGTTTATAAGCATGGAGGATTTCTTGATTTGTTGGTAGTTGACTCGCCGACAACCTATAACACCATCTTCGCTGCCATCTGCTTAATAACTTCAAGGCTGTTACCTCTGTGTACCACGTAATGGTAAAATTTTCTATTGACGAAGATGCGATCACCGTCAGAGATAACTTGGAGCAATCCCATACCTGCTACCTCCGGGCGGTACCTGCTACCTCCGGGTTCCGCTCGAGATCGGGAATCTTAACTAGAGAGATCTCGAGACCAGCGATACTACTCATCAAGTTCCAATGACCGAAAGTGAGCTCGATAAATTCTTCCTACTCAATGAAAATTTTGATGCATGCTTGAGGGAAACGATGTCCATAAAAACGTTTAAAAGCCTACCAACTCAGATGAGGAGATGTAGAGTAAATATAGGATATCAGAAAAATCCCTTCATGCCCTATTTATAACAAGCATGGGCACGAAAGTCCATAGAGTTCAATTGTTGTAGCTATGATTATGAAATAAATGATATTTAATTTTGCATTTAATTCTCTTATTCTTATTATAACACCACTTTCAAGAAGTAAAAGAATCAGAGAACTAAAATATGTAACGGTCCAGAAGAGAGAAACTATAACTAAGTAGGGCCCAACAACAGACGACCTGTAAGAGACCCCACTTATTCAATTTGATACAACCATCTAAGCTAAAGACAAATGCTACTCGAGTCAGGAGAAGGATAAAATCAATGATCCGATTCCAAGATAACTAAACTATAGCAAGACTTATAAGCACCCAAGCTAAAAAGTCGAGCGAAGGTGTCTATCTATCTATCGACAAATCAGATCCGAAGAAAGAATCAAGTTCCTCACCATCAACGACAGCCCACGGACGCTCTCAAAATTCATCATTAAGGATCAAGAATTGGTAATGCAATATATTCTCATAGTGATCTCAAAGGGTTTCCTTATCAAAGAATGATCTATTTGTCAAGTTATGGTAGCTAACTCTGTGCTCGATAACCTAGTTTCATTCTACCAATTGTGTAGCATCTCATATAGGGATCAATGGTTGATAGTCAGACTAGATCAACCGATCGATAAAGTCTAGCTGATCGAGTAAATCCTACCGATCCGAAGCAAATTAAGATCGGTCGCTGGACTGAACCGACTCAGCCTACTCGTCTGAGTCGGCCTTATCGAGTTGAAGTCATGCCAGCCTAGCCATCCAAGTCATAGGACAACCGAACAATAGACTCATACATGTAAAATACATATAACATTCTATAACAGATCCCATTAATAAAACAAGGGTAAAAATGTAATATCACATAGTATATCCTCTCTCCTTTAAATAAGAAGATCATTTATGATAAAAGGGAGATAAGCAAGACGTTTCAATGTTCATTACAGTTCATTTCTTTCTTTCTCTCTTCTTTTTTGCGTTCTAACACTTGGGGTGTGATTCGTGGACAAATTAGCATTTAACACAAATATAGAAGATTCAACTTACAATAATTTAGGAATAGACTTCTAAAATTAACTGGTTATATTAATTAGGATGATAATATAATAATATAAGATTTATGTAATTTATAGTTGTTATTTTTGATATTGGATTAATGAGAAGGTGGGACGTGCTCCATTATATGACTAGATCGCTCGTCACATGTACAACATTGACGAATTAAATTTCTCCTATTTGTAGAGAAAATATTAATTCAAGATATCCAAAAACACAAGTTCGGACGATGGCGTAGACCACACACTTGCAAGCGGCGTGTTGCAATCCACGGCGTCTTCAGGATAAACAGATGTTCATATGTAGTATTTTTTCGCCTTTGCATGAGAAAAACTCTTTCAAATGGGTGGAAATGGAAGATTAGACTTTTGTTATTTCTCTGTGAATTTCTTTGGCCGGAATCACAAAGGTTATCTTACAATATCATCGCTCTTATTTGGTCTCTGAGTATCCAAAATTTAAAACTTTATTATTATTATTCTTTTTTTGTTTTCGAGATATTAAACACAAAACTCTTTCACTACAAATTAATACGACTTTGTGATACTCCTAAATTTCCATGCACTTCTTGGACCTTATGCAGATAAACTAATTTTACTTCATTTTTATATTCAATACCTGATAAGGTATATGATGAAGTTTTTATGGTAATGGTATGGTTCATCAGCTGTAAATGTGTTCCTTAGCTGAAAAATAAATAAATAAATTATAAATTATAACAAAAAGATGAATGAATCCTTGCTCATGACTGGATCAAATCAATACCATACATTCCCACTCCATTTTATATTCAAAATAATAACAATAACAATTATAAAGCAGTAGTTTTTCATAACAATAGTATCAAGTAAAAAAAGTTTCCAATTATTCTGTATATTATTTTCATTGTTTGTTTTTTTCTTAATCATGCCGGCCCTCATGGACTATAAATAGAAAGGACAACAATGCAGCTACAGATCATAGCAAGTAAACCCTTGCATCCATCCTTCTAAAAGCAGTACTCTCTCATCATGGCTTTCAATATTGCTTCTGCTGGAACTTCAGCAACTCTCCTTTCCTCTTCTATCCTACTGCTCCTCTTCGTATCATGCTCCTCCACAAGCTTAACCAATGTTCTAAAATCTGGTGAAAAACTTGCCTCTGGGGAATCCCTATCAACAGGCAGCTATAAATTTGTAATGCAGAGTGATTGTAATTTAGTGCTGTATGACAATGGTGAAGCCATCTGGGCGTCGAACACCGTTGAAATGGGCACCCAATGTAGACTGCAACTGCAATCTAATGGTGAACTCATCATCTTCGCTGGTTTGGGCAAAATGATATGGAGAAGCGAGACAGGAGGGGGATATGGCAAATATGCTCTTGTGCTCCATTCAAATGGAAATGTTGTGGTATACGAAAGCCCAACGTGGTCCATCGGCGCGCTTGTTCAGAGTCAGATCAGCCATGGTTTATCTAACTCGACGGAACCTGATTCCAAGAACCCTTAAAAAGATATGATGTTGGCCATAAGTTGGTTTCTACACCGACCCACATGCATGTGTTACTTTAAATAAGCGCTCCTAGCGTCTTCCTGTGAAGTTTTTAAGTTTGTGTCAGCACTGTCTGTCTGTCTGTGAGCTTATTGAGAAGTGATTGGTGGCTTCTAGCAATGTTGTTTACACTATTTGCTTTGAAAGAGTATTTGAATTTATTACCATAGGTCCATAATTGATAAGTGTTAGCCGTTAAGATAAAATAGTTTTGAGATACAAAGAATTTTGATTCATACATATGAATGAATAATAAATCATTATTTATTTTCTTAAATATAATTTAAGGAAGAGGGGGGATTTAGAAACATACAATATTTACTTATCTAATACTTTAGTGGCATAATCATATCAAAATACTTTTAAAAATATAGATTTTACTTTTAAAAAGTATATTTTATTAATATTTTTATGCGACATTTAAATATGTGGATGTTATATAAATAAACTTAAGTTCGTGTTGAACTATAATTTAATTCTCATGACTATACATCAAATGGTACAAGAGATATGTATCCCAACTATACATCTAACTAGATAGCCAAGGCTTTCTATATGACGGAAAATACTAGATTAGCATTGGTAATCTCAACCATAAAAAATGCTCTCGTGCGAAGAACTTACTAGAAAGTCAATATGGTTAATATCGAGTAGAGCATCGAACAAGTGACCGCATGACAAAGTTGTTTGAGGTGGTATGTTTAAAATAACTGCTAGATACACAAGGCAATCCAAGCATGATAAGATGCTTATTTTGAAGGGTATCAACTTTAACTGACTGAAGTAATCCCATCAAAAGAGCAAGCATCATAATATAACCGGGTATTGAGGTACTCCGACGGGAAATGGACTGATTAGAAAGCTGATATAACATTCCCTCGATAAGGTAATAAGGATTAACCAAGTTGATTAAAAATATTATTGGGCCGGATAAATAAGATGGTCCAACTTCAAAGGTGCTTTCACAAGCACTAGCATGACGACTCTCACTGAGGGTTCCTCCAAAATAGCTAGCTAACTTTTGCTAGGGATATATTAGATATCTCAACAAATATAGGTTGACTGATCAATTGATACAACACGTCCTTTGACAAGGCGAACAAAATTAACCAAGTCAATCAAAAAACATCAAAAAACCAAGGTATAATCAACGGTCAAACATTGGAGTGTTTTCATAAGCACCAACTAAGTAATTTTCACTACGAATTTTTCAAAACAAACAAATTAGTCTTTGTTGATGAAGTATCAATGAAAATTTCAGCGAGAATTGGCTAAGACAACTCTCAGTGGGGAAAATACCCTATTTCTAATCAAATATCATAATATTTTGACTAGACAACATGGATCAGATAGATAATTAAAGAGGTCTAAACTGATACGACATGACACTTAGACAGAGGAATAAAAAAATGACTGTGTCAAAACATCAAAGAGGTTGGATAGCCAAAGCATCCCAACCTATATATGATACTTCTATCAAGCATCTTGGTAAGATAACTCCTATTGCGGAAGTATCATAACTTGATTGGAAACCGAAGTGTTCCAATCAGATATGGATCGGTCCAATAAGCAATATGCTCTGAGCGATACGACGCATCTCGTGATAAGGCAATAAAAATTGACGAGTCTCAAAAATATAAAGGGGTTAGACAAGCATGATGACCCATCATGAGGGGTACTTTCACGAGGTTAGGCTAGAGTGAGAGGGTTTATCTTGAGAGGCGGCCTATTAGTGGCACACTGCAGTGATGCTCTCTATGTTTTTGCCCACTGTGAGGGGTTTACCTTGAGAGGGTATACTTGGGCATAATCTAGCAAACTATCTGAACTTCTTAGATGTTGATCTAGTTGTCTGAGTAGTATTGGTTGGATCACATAGCTGGCCTACATCACGGGACATGTGGATGTACAATTATATATATAATGTGTGTCAAATTTTATTATAACTTAATGACAAAAAATGGCTGGAAGGAATAATAAAAATGAATTTTATCACAAACATGTTATTCAAAATTTTGGGATTTTTAGTATTCATTGCAAACAATTGTTTGTTGTAAGAATTTTGTGAATCTTCATTGTAAAGTTATTTCAAATCTAATTAAATTGGTTCCTCGAGGTTGACTTTTTCTTTCCATTTTTAATCTATCACTTTTAATTCAAAAAGTGGTTTATTAAAAAGACAATTTAAATGAATTATGACATAATACAAATTATAAAATAAAAAGTTACATAGATACCACATAATTGCATATGTAATATCTCATATACATAAATATATTTCTTTAGAATTATTTATAGTTTACCATTTACTTTCTTAAACTGCTCACTTAAGCTATCATGTTTATATGAAGAATAAGTTATATACTATTATGCTATTCTGTTTGATTGAATTTATCATTATGAGTCCGTTTGGGACATGGGAGGGACAGCTTATTTGGTGCGGTGGCGTTTTGAAAGCGCACCTGACTTGTTTAAGTAAACTGTGTTTTGACAGCTTATGCGTTTTCAAAACGCTGAAAACAGCTTTTTCATACCACACCTATGTAGGTGCGGTGTCAGCTTTCTGACAGCGGTCTGGCTTTTCAAAAAAAAAAAATAAAATTTGTAATAGCCATCGCACCTAACTTATCAACAGATTATTTTTAATCAGCTTAACAACAAGTTATTAATAAGTTGTAGCTGCCGCAAACAGACCCTAACCCTAAAAGTCTATAATTAGTTAGTTGCTCTCATATACATACATACATACATACATACATATATATATA